ACACACACACACACACACACACACACACACACACACACACACACACACACACACACACACTCACACGTACATACATACACACGCGTGCACTTAGTAGATGTGCAAACATACATGAGTGGCTACCGCAGGAAGGAGAGAACCTTGCTGTATATAATTAGCTATAATATAATATAATTGCTATATATAATTGCTGTATATAATTGGCAGATAAGATTCGCGCGTCTGAGTGACTTAAAAAGCTGCGTAATTAGGAAAATCTACTTAATCTAGTCGTTGCAGATAAAAACCCGCCAAATCACTTCTCAGCTTTCACAGCGAAGATGCGGATGATGATACAGTATCATGGGATGCCGCGTTACGACACAGTTGCAATATTGTTTTTCAATTTCTACTCTCACGAGCATTTCTGCATGATGCCGCCATGTTTTACGGCGTACTCGGTCATTTTTATCTGATCTGATCTGTTATTACTCTGCACGTCATTTTAAATGTTCTACGAAGATTTTAGACCTCGTCTGTAGGGCTAGATAGTCAACTTTTACTTATATGTCTCAATTTTTATTTATCAAATTTTTACTCTCGGCTGTGACGAGTTTCAGTATACTAGCGCGCACGTGACCAACGGTCAATCAGTCACGTGCAATGGCGTCGAGCAGCCTTCGAACGGAGCTACCGCGCATGCGCACCACGAACATGAGGAGTTTCCAGCCCTTACTGCTGCCTTTTGGCAGGACACTTACAACCCAGGAGAGGAAACAGGTGCGCATTCTCTTCATAAATAAATGTGATCTGTCTGTGAAATTGCCTCCCTAACACGAATTTGCGCAAAATCGTCTCGTACCCTAATAACTGTGCGCTATGCTTATAAAAATACTTGTTACATAAAACACGCTAAAACACGCTTGTTCTTTCGTTTCTACTACTCACACGTCACACTCTCGACGTTACACATTCCCAGGGTTGTCACGGGTTATGATATTCCATGCTGATGTACGTTACATGTCAATGCAATACTGTTGTACGTTACATGTCAATGCAATACTAATGTATGCTACATGCCAATGCAATATTCCGAGACCAGGATAATTTAGAACCCCGTTCATCATTACACATGATGCAACATAAAAACCCAGGATGACGCCGTTCGTTACTCGGGTGGTCGGCAGTAATCGCTGCCGTAGATATTTTTTGCTGTATTTTTTTCTCAGTAATTGCACGACGGACGGCGTATTTTTAGAGCGTCAACCGTTTCCATGTTTTATTTAAAAAAACGTCTATTACGATAATTTACGGTAATCGATACTGATGGTGAAGCTATTAGCTCCTCAATCAATCGATCATCAAACACGGATGCCACCGATACACGTAACAGTCATACTATTGTGTAGCCCTCCCTCCACCGGCTCAGTACTGCTGTATTATAACTCTTGCTCTAACCAACAGGCCATAAGTTCACCCTCATCTTCTCCTCCACACCTCAGCCCGGCCTGCTCGGCACATCGATGCATTAACAGCCTCTCTACCTTCCCTCTCACCTTCACCCCTCCTCTCCCTCTCACTCTCACTCTTCCCTCTCACCTTCACCCCTCCCCTCCTTCACACTCTCACCCTTCCCTCTCTCCTTCACCCCTTCCCTCCTTCACACTCTCACCCTTCCCCTTTCCCTCAGCCCTGCCTGCTCGGCACATCCTCACACTTCCCCTCTCCCTCACCCCTCCCCTCCCTCTCACTCTCACCCTTCCCTCTCACCTTCACCCCTCCTCTCCCTCTCACTCTCACCCTCCCTCTCTCCCTCAGCCCTGCCTGCTCGGCACATCGGCACACTTCCCCTCTCCCTCACCCCTCCCCTGCCTCTCATTCTCACCCTTCCCTCTGTCCTTCACCCCTTCCCTTCCCTCTCACTCTCACCCTTTTCCTCTCCCTCAGCCCTGCCTGCTCGGCACATCCTCACACTTCCCCTCTCCCTCACCCCTCCCCTTCCTCTCACTCTCACCCTTCCCTCTCACCTTCACCCCTCCCTCCCTCTCACTTTTACCCTTCCCCTCTCCCTCAGCCCTGCCTGCTCGGCACATCCTCACACTAACAGCTTCTCAGCTTCTCTTCTATCGTTTCTCATGCTAGGTTACGAGCAGCTGTTTGTGAACACAGATCTACCGGCCGAGCAGCCGTGGCCCACATCCTCTCAACCCAAGGTCACGGTCACTGCCGAACATGATCAGCCTCACCACCGTGACGTCATCGATGCGGCGGCGCCACCGGCGTTTAGCGGTGCAGAGCGACAGAGCTGGCACGACGGCAGCGATGAGTCACGGGTCAAAGGTCACGACTGGACGTCCGCCGCTGCCACTAACGTGCCGTCCGTAAATCGCAACGATGCGGCGTCCTACAGCGCCACCTATGGAGCTGGCGCGGTAGGGGGCAGCACAGGTCATCACGGAGCCCCGTACACGCGCGATGCATCCTGGGGGAATGAGGAGCTCTCCTACGCGAGCCCTACAGGACTGCTCAAGGTCGCCCGCACGCGCCGCGATCGCCGCCCGCACCGTCACCATGACGACGGTTACATCAGCGATGGTTACATCAGCGACGGCTATGACGTCAGCGACGGCTATGACGCCAACGACGGCTACGTCAGCGATGGCGCCCTCATGCGGCCGTCCTCGTCCAGACACAAGCACCGCGGCGGCGGTCTTTCGACGCCAGCACCCCTGGCGGCTACCGACAACAGATTCGACCAACGAGGTCTCAGCGGTGGAGAGATGACGTCACACTACCCTGTGCGGAGAGGTGGCGGATACTGGGGTTATCACGGGGGAGACACGAGCCGGGGAGAAGCAGGGTATGGTGATTACCGCAGCATGACTGCGGGCTGGCAGCCGTACGGCCAGCACACAGACAGTGACGTCAGCAGCGTCCCGGCGTACCAGCAGACAGGAAGTGACGTTAGCAGCATGCCAGTGTACCAGCAAACAGGAAGTGACGTCAGCAGCGTCCCGGCGTACCAGCAGACAGGAAGTGACGTCAGCAGCATGCCGGCGTACCAGCAGACAGGAAGTGACGTCAGCAGCATGCCAGTGTACCAGCAGACGAACACTGCAGAGAACAACTGGCCCTCTGAACAGCTTTGGGCTGCAGAGAACAACTGGCAATCTCAGCAGAACACTATAGAAAATAACATGATTCCTGCACAGCAGAACTCAGCAGAGAACAGCTATTCTTCCGAACAGCAAAGAACTACAGAGAACAATTGGCCCTTTGTACAACAGAACAATACAGATTACAATTGGCCTTTTGTAGAACTGAATACTGCAGTGAACAATTGGCTTCCTGTTCAACAGCACAATACTACAGTGAACAACTGGCCTTCTTTGCAACAACAGAACAATACAGAGAACAACTGGCCTTCTGTAGAACAAAACACTGCAGTAAACAAATGGCTTCCTGTTAAACAGCAGAATACTACAGTGAACAACTGGCCTTCTTTGCAACAGCAGAACACTACAGAGAACAACTGGGTTCCTGTTCAACAGAACACAGTTGAGAATAACTGGCCTTCTGAACAGCAACAGAACACAGTAGAGAATAACTGGCCGTCTGAACAGCAACAGAATACTACAGAGAACAACTGGGTTCCTGTGCAACAGAGCACAACAGAGAACAGCTGGCTTTCTGAACAGCAGCAGAACACATTAAAGAACAACTGGCCGTCTGAACAGCTAGAGAACACTGCACCAAACAACTGGCCTTCTTTGCAACAGCAGAATACTACAGAGAACAACTGGGTTCCTGGGCAACAGAACACAACAGAGAACAACTGGCCTTCTGAACAGCAACAGAACACTGCACCAAACAACTGGCCTTCTTTCCAACAGCAGAATACTACCGAGAACAACTGGGTTCCTGTGCAACAGAACACAACAGAGAACAACTGGCCTTCTGAACAGCAGCAGAACACATTAGAGAACAACTGGGTTCCATCACAAACAAACACTGTAGAGAACAACTGGCCTGCTGTGGAACAACAAAACAATGTAGAGAACAACTGGGTTCCTTCACAACAGAACACTGTAGAGAACAACTGGCCTGCTGTAGAACAACAGAACACTGTAGATAACAACTGGCCTGCTGTAGAACAACAAAACAATGTAGAGAACAACTGGGCTCCATCACAACAGAACACTGCAGATAACAACTGGCCACATGTACAACAAAGCAATGCAGCGAGCAACTTTCCTGCTACAGAATGGAACAGTGTGATGTCGAATGAGCCATCATCTCATGAGCACATCGTAGCTGACAGCTCACCACTAACACAGCAAACCACCGCACCGTGTCACGCGCCTCCGCCACCAGTAAACGTCCAACAGAACAAGAGCACACGTTCGGAACATGCCAAAAACCGCGGTCCTGCGTCGTTCAACCCCGTAGTGCCTTGCTCCCCTGCTGGTGGCAGCAATGGTAGAAGCGATACGTCCAGTAGTAACTCCAGCAGTCTTTCCCGCCACCTCTTCGTCCCAACCTCCTCGCCGGTAGGTGACAGCACCAGCAGCCGCCCCCAGCACCTGTGCACGGAGCGCAGGCACGCGCGTCCGCGCTCTCGCATCAAGATCTTCGGCAGCGTCATGGGCGACGGCACGCTGGTGAACGAGACGAGCGGTGACGTCATCGCACGCGCGCGCATCCGCGCTAAGGACGATAGAGCGCTACAGGAGGGTCACGCGATCGCGCGCGCACCGCGCAACAAGACGCTCACAGAGAGACCCGTCTACACGTCGCTGGACGGTGGCGCCACCACGCTGCCGGCGCGCGCGGGGAGGCGCTGGGGAGGGGCGGACCGTGCCAGGCGTGCGGGAGATGTTAAGGGCAGCAGCAGCAGCAAGCCCATCTCACTCGCTACATTGCTTGTAAAAGAGCACGCCAGAGCGCAGGGCGGACGCGCCGCGGAAAAAACACAGCCAGAGGACGCTGATAACCCGGGCAGTGGTAACGGAAAGGGTTTGAATCTGTCACCAGAGGGCGCTAAGCAGCAGGGCAGCGGTAGTGGTGAGGGATTGATCAGCAATAGTGACGTCATCTTTCACGAACCTCAGAAGCTTTACTGCTCCAGTCAGACTATCATACTGAGCCCCGCACATAGAGAGACGGACGAGCAGGCGAGGGCAGGCGAGGCAGCGAGGCAAGATGAGACAGAGAGACAGAATGTTACAGAGAGACAAGGTGAGACAATGAGACAGCCAGAGGCAGAGAGACAGTTAGAGACAGAGAGACAGCCAGAGACAGGGAGACGGGAAACGGTACCGAGATGGGAAGAGATGCTGAGACAGGATGAGGCTTTCAGATCTGAAGGGGAAATGAAACGAGAGGAGGAGCTGAGACAAGCTGAGCCATTAAGACAGGCTGAAGCTTTGAGACAAGCTGAGGCTGCAAGACGAGAGGAAGAGGAGCTGAGACAGGCTAAGGCGCTGAGGCAGGCCGAAGCTTTGAGACAAGCTGAGGCTGCGAGACAAGAGGAGGAGGAGCTGAGACAAGCTGAGGCGCTGAGACAAGCTGAGGCATTGAGACAAGCCGAGGCTGTGAAACAAGAGCAGCTGAGACAAGCTGAGCTATTGAAACAAGCTGAAGCCGTGAGACAAAAAGAGGCCATGAGACAAGCTGAGGCATTGAGACAAGATGAGGCCATGAGACAAGCTGAGGCCGTAAGCCAAGCTGAGGCCGTGAGACAAGCTGAGGCCGTGAGACAAAAAGAGGCCATCAAACAAGCCGAGGCCATGAGACAAGCTGAGGCATTGAGTAAAGCTGAGGCATTGAGACAAGCCGATGCCGAAGCATTAAAACGGGATGCGGCGGCGGTCGCAGTAGCAGCAGCAGCAGCAGCAGCAGCTGCAGCAACAGCAGCAACAGCAGCAACAGCAGCACCTCCAGCAGCAGTAGCAGTACCCAGCTACGGGGACGAGGCAGAATTCATCCCCTCCATCCCTCCTCCCATGTACGGAGAGTGGTTCCAAGAACCCGAACAGTTCCTCTACTGCGCCAAAGAAGATTCCCTCACGCCGCTGTGGCAGGAAGCATACAGCTTGAAGGAGGACGTCCGCGCAGTCGCTCCGGAGGCGCCTCCTGGTGACAGCGAGGCACCGGCGGAGTCGACCTTGATTGACCACCTCGTTGTGAACTTTCACTCTCCCAGCCAGCAGCACCAGCAGGCGGGTGTGGCGAGCCGGGGGGAGGAGCAGGAGGAGGAAGGTGCGCAGGCGAGACCGCGGGAGATGAAGCCCTCCCTCGCTCTTCTTCCTCCTCCTCAGCTTCCCGACCCGACACCCGCCGAACGCTCGTGGCTCAGACTGCTCTCACAGTCACGTGACCCGCTCGTTGCCCGGGCCAACGACAGCGGCATCAGGAACTTTGATCTGAGTACGTTCTCAGAGGATGAGGATGCTGACGATGGGATGCTAGCGCGGAGGCAGCAGCAGCAGCGATCCCGCCGGGCTGGACAGCGGTCAACGGTCGACCAGCCGCATCCCGGAACCCCGCATCATCCCTCGCAGCATCCCTCCCAGCATCCCTCCCAGCATCCCTCCCAGCATTCCTCACAGCATCCCTCCCAGCATCCTTCCCAGCATCCCTCCCAGCGGCAGACAGACATATTCCCTGACCGGTCCGTAGATCGCACGACCGCGCGTGTGGACAATATCGCCGGCGTCGGACGCCCTGCGAGACGGGACACACCTGCACATTTGTCAAGCTCGCCAGCGGATCCGTGCCAAGGTGTTCCTGCAGGGGAGATCCCGCTGTATCAGTGGGAATCTCCCGACGAGAGCGAAACCAACACGCCGTCTCTCACACAGCTTCCCCGACGGGACGATGACGACAGCAGCAGTAACTACGTGAGCTCTCAGCCTCGTACTGTCGGTACCGCCACTACCAGCCATGACATCCCTGCAGCAGCAGCAGCAGCAACAGCAAGCTACCGCGCTACACCTCATAACGTTAGCTACCACAGCGCTCCTCGCGGACGTAACTATAGCAACGTGCATCAGAACAGCAATGGCGTTGGCGACAATATTGCCCAAAGCAGAAGTAACCATGACAACTCACATCAAAGTTCAGCAGGAATAGATAACAATATGGCCCCGGATGATAGACACCGAGATAATGGGAAACGGAATGCTGGTATGGCTTACAATATTGTTCCAGATGCCACTAATTATGACAGCTCACAACACAACACTGTTTACAACATTTCGCCAGACGTAAGTAACTATGGCAACTCAGAACAGAATGCTGGCATGACTGAAAGCATTGATGGGGGCGCAGGCAGGCACGCGGGCAGAAATGAAGCCATACAGAATTCATACCAGCAGCTTCCTCAACATCAGTACCAGCAGCAGCAGCCTCAGGATAAGAACCACCACCAACACCACCAGCAGCAGCAGCAGCCGCCGCATCAGTACCAGCAACAGCCTCAGCAGCAGCATCAGTACCAGCAGCAGCCTCAACAGCAGCTGCAGCAGCCTCAGTACCAGCAGCAGCCTCAGCATCAGTACCAGCAGCAGCTGCAGCCACTTTACGGCGCACGGGGAGCTGATGGTATAGGCAGCACAGCGGGGCTCCCGCCATCACCGCGCACACCGACAACAAACACACAGGTTAGCTCTCTCCCTTACAACCCCTCCGCCGTCTCCGCCACCCTGCCCCGCACAACCTCTTCCCGCGCCAACCCGGCTCCGATGTCCCCCGTCTCCCGCCGCTCCGTCACACACACCCCCGAACATCCAGCTGTCGACCAGCCTGACCCAGCCAGCGACCCCCGGCGCACTGACCGCCGCACCCACGAGCGGTCGGCCTCTCCGGACAGCGGTCAGGGTAGAGCTGACCCGCGGATGGGTTATGCGACGTTCCCGCGCGTTCGCTCCAGAAGCGTGGACGACCCGCGCCGCTCGCGCAGAGTGATTCCGATCCATGTGCAGGGCCTGCCCGACCAGCAGGTGGCGCCACGCGGCACTCCTCCGAAAGAGAGCAGTAGTGAGAAGATTATTCCTATAGATATGAAGATAGAGGGCAGGCAGCTCGGTAAGCTACAACAGCAGCCACAGCTGCCACAACTGCCACAACAACAACAACAACAACAACAACAACAACAACAGCCACAAAAGTCATGGAATCAGCCACAAAAGTCATGGAATCAGCAACAACAGCCACAACAGCCACAACAGCCACAACAGCCACAACAGCCACAACAGCAGCAACAACAACAGCAGCCACAGCAGCTGCAGCTGCCAGAACAACAACAACAACAACAACAACAGCCACAACAACAACAAAAGTCATGGTATCAGCACCAACAGCAACAGCCACAGAGTCAAGATCCGCGAGAACAGCAACAACAACGACAAGATCAACAGTTGTGGTACCAGCAACAAAAGCCACAGCAACAGAAAAAAGATTCATGGGAACAGCAACAGAAACAGCAACAGCACCTACAACAACAACAGCAACAACAGCAACAGCAATGGTATCAACAACAGCAGCCATGGCAACAACCACAACAGCAACAACAGCCACACCATCAGGTGATGCAGTCATCCCAGCAGCACCAACAACCATGGCAACTGCAGAAGCAGCAGCAGCAACAGCCATGGAAACAGGAACAGCAGCAGCAACAGCCATGGCAACAGAAGCAGCAGCAGCAGCAGCAACAGCCATGGCAACAGGAACAGCAGCAGCAACAACAACAGCAGCGGCAACAGCAGCAGCAGCACTCCCCTGACGGTAGGAGCGCCGGCAGGGATTTGGGAGACAGGGACTCGAGGTCTCCACAGAGAACTAGAAGCGTTTCTCGCGACATCCCTATACAGTTCCCGACCAAGCAGCCCTCCCCCACCACACATCCCTCCTCCACCACATACCCATCTCCCACCACCCACCCCTCCCCCACCAACTACTCATCTCCCACTACCCATCCCCCCCAAACTAACCACCCACCCAACACCGCCAACCCCTCTTCCACCACTCATTCTTCCCCCACTGCCCACCCCTCCTCCACCACCCACCCCTTCCCCACCAGCCACACCTCCCCCGTCACCACCGGCTATGTCCGCCCCATCCCCCGCCGGCGTGACATCACCGACCTTGACGCCATCCCTGACCCCAAGCTGAACGCGGCGGCAGCTAAGCCTCCTCCAGCAGGCGGGACCTCTCCCATCTCCCCGGATAGCAGTCTCAACCGCCTCACCAAGGTCAACACGAACAAAAACCGCACGAGCGCCGACGCGCCCCACCAGAGGTCGCCACGGGTGTCTCGCAGCGTCAGCTGGAGTCCGGTCGTCGAGGTGTGGACGGACTATAGCGACCACGAGGCGGACCCCGCCACCGTCGCTGCTACTACCGCCTCCCGTAGCCAGGAGACCGTCCCGCGCCTCCCCGTGACTGCGGGGGGAGGAGGAGGAGGAGACGGCGAGGAGGGTGGTTACGGGGTGTCGCTGGCGGAGGAGGAGGGGGCGTGGCGCGGCGTGGGGAAACCCATCGACACGGTGAATGACTGGCAGATGAACAACCAAGCTGCTGCTGCCACCACGCGGCCGAGCTGGGAGACTGAAGCTTACGATGACACATGCTGCGCCCACGCAGATCGCAGCATCCCGGAAGGTGACACCACCGGTGAGGAACAGATCGCTGAGCGACACAACGCGTTGGTGCTGCAGCGGTGGGCGCCAGGAGGCGCTGGTGTAGGAACAGGTGTCGCTAGAGGGCAGCGGACAGTGTTTATATGGGATCTAGATGAGACGATCATCATCTTCCATTCACTCATCACAGGATCGTTTGCACGCAAGTACGACAAGGTGGGTGCTACTCAGTAACAGCAGCAGCAGCAGCGGCAGCAGCAGCAGCAGCAGCAACAACAGCAGCAGCAGCAGCAGGCAGGGTGCGCTTGTTATATATGTATACATATATGTCATGTTACGCAGATTGCAGGAATTTTTACTTACTCGCGAGCTCTCTGTTCCTCCCTCCCTCTCTCTCGCTCGGCCTTGCTCTCGCGCGCTCTCTCCCCCACGCGTTCTCTCTCCCTCCCTCCCCCTCTCTCTTTCTCCCTTCCTCCCTCTCCCTCACTCTCTGTCTGTCCGTAATCTAAGCCTCTCTCTGCATTAAACTATGATTTACGTACTGACATTGCCTGCATCTACATTGTTGCTTTGCACCTGTTTTTCACATTTTCACATGAATTGATATGTATACGTCGTTTCACTAGGACGTTGTCAAGGCAACGGAGCTTGGTAAACAGATGGAAGAGTTGCTGTTTAGAGTTCTCGTCACCTACTTCTTCTATTACGATTTATCGGTGAGCTATGTCACGCCCACACTACCCTATAGTTATATGTTATCGTTAACTATGTTAACTATGGTAACTATGGTAACCATTTTAACTATGTTAGGTATGATTAATATAATAACTACTATAACTGTGATAAGATAACCAGGATGGTTTTTACAGCTATAATATACGGTACAGGTAGTGTGTTATGCGTAGGTGTGTGGTGTTCCCCTGGCAGCGATAAGGCGTTGTAACAGGCGTTAGTAATAATTTACCTTCACGTTTGTAGTCAACGACGTACCAGCACATCAGCGACATTCTGAACGCAGAGAGCAAGGATGATTCCCTTCTGAGGTAGGTCTCTCTCTTCTTTCTCACTCTCTCTCTCTCTCTCTCTCTCTCTCTCTCTCTGGTTGAAACGTTGGTGACCTTACCCTCTGACCTCTCACTGACCCCTTGATCTTTGACTTGCCCCAGTCGGCGGGGTTAACGCACTAGTGTCGTCTTCTGCAGCTACTCGGCTCCGTTCGCCTGGGGTTACAACACGATGCACTCACGATCGTCATCGTCTCTGGCGTCGCCGCCAGGTGGCGATGATGAGCGCTGGTTGGCTGCACGCTACCGCAAGGTGGAGACACTGTACGTAGCACACCAACACGACACGGCAGGTATGTGTGCAGACACGGTCAGATAACCTAGTCAAGCGACGCTTCCCTCCTATAAACATCTTATTAAGACTTTCACAAATCCTCAAGTAACGTAGTCTTAAAACTATAAAGTTTTTATTATACTCGTGTTTAAACTAGTATTTATAGCAAACTTTTAGCTTTTTATATATATAAATGTTTTGTCTGAGTTGGGAAAGTGTTTAAAATAATTTTATACGTTAATAGTTACCTCCGCCAGGGGCTTGGCGGAGGTTATGTTTTCACCGGCGTGTGATTGAGTGTTGGTTTGTGAATTTGTTAACATGCACGTTTCAGTTCACTTCCGCTAGGTGCGCTGGCTGTAGACTTACAAACACGCAACCACAGGCTAAGGGGCAACCACAGTCCTCCCCCACCTGCACGCTCGCACTAATCCGGATCCAATTAATTATTTAATTAATTAATTAAAAATTTTACATTAAGAGAATTCAGCTGCTTTGGCGGAGGTCTGTGCTCTCCGAGTGCTCTAGTTCTTTATATTTTACGCGTTTGTGTTCTAATGTACATCACATATTACAATTACATTATTACATACGTTCTAAGCAAGCTTGCACATGCAGTAATGATACGCACGATGTGATATGACAGCTATAGTTGCTGGTAATTGTATTGCGTTGTTTTTCATCGTAGCTTTGCTGGGTCCCAATCTGAGGAAGAACTGGCGGCAGCTGCAGGAAAACATAGAATCATTCTCTGAACGCTGGCTGGACGTGGCAAGAACCTGTTTATCTGTTATAGGAGCCAGGTGAGTGTAGGGACCAGGTCCTCCCACCCCTCCCTCTCCTCACTCTTCTCCCTCTCCTTCCTCCCCTCCCTCCCATACCTCCCCTCCTTCCCCTCCCTCTTCTACCTCCCCTCCCTCCCCTCCCTCTTCTCCTTCCCTCCCTCCCCTACCTCCCATCCCTTCCCTCTCTCCCCTCCCTCCCCTACCTCCCCTCCCTTCCTTCCCTCTCCCGTCCTGCTGCTAACATGATCAGTGAGCCAACACTCAGAGATGGTTAAGATGATGGTTAACGACAGAGTTAACGTTTTACCACACCAGAATACACGAGAGATCTCCATTTTATGCGCAATCTCTCAAAGACAAATCTCAAATATACCGCCTGCTTTGCTGACATGCGTGTGTACGTCACGGTTTCTGACGTGACGTGTACGTGACGTGTGTGTGACGTGTGTGTTTGCAGGCTGAACTGTGAGAATGTTATCGTCACCTCCACTCGTCTGCTGCCGGCGCTCGCCAAGCTCCTTCTCTACGACTTTGGCGCTTTCTTCCCCATAGAGAACGTCTACAGCGCAGCAGAGACCGGTAAGCTATCATGGCGCCACCTGGTCGCGAGGACGCGCAACCACTATTTCGTTACCGCAACTCTCGCGCGTAGATCTATCTCGCCGACGGTGACGCTCCCGTGCGGCGTCTGAACACATTACATTGATGACACGTTACCGTGTCTATTCTGCATGCAGTGTCTTGCATAGATCGTGTGATTAGGCATCCGATCTTGCTGCGCAGGTAAGAAAGCGTGCTTTGAGCGCATCTCGCTGCGGTTCGGCCGAGCCGCGAACTATCTGGTGCTAGGCAACGGCAAGGAGGAGGAGGCTGCAGCCACGCAGGTTAGTGAAGCCACCTCTCATACACGACACTAGATGGCGCTCCTCATCTATCTATATCAACACTCCTCTATAGTTCGCGTTGCCTATATAGTTATCTAACAATGTTTATAATGAGTTATGTTTATATCGTTACTGTATGTTGACGGATGATGACGTAGACTATATATAACTATATAACACATACGCGCCAGTTTCCATATGTTCATCCTCTCTCGCTACTGTTAAACAGCTTCTTCAGAGGTCACCAGACTACCGTGTATTTCAATGTTCAAATGTGTAATTACTTTTTATGTTAATGTTAATTATCGTTCATGTGTCACGTGACAGCTCGGAATCCCTCACTGGAAAATAGCGTGTCGCTACAACCTGGAGATGCTTTACAGAGCTCTGGACGCCAACGTCATGTGACGCAGCACTGACGCGCTGACGTCACCACGTGACATATAGCGTCCAGCCACACGGACGCATCAATTGGGACGGACTTACACTGACTGTCAGATTAGATGACGTCACACACCAGCGTGCATTACGCAGACGTCACGTAACCCCTGACACTAACTCTCTGCCGCGTGGCATCACCATGGCAACGACACAGCCTGCCCTCTAGCAGCACGCGTAGCAACTACACCGGCGGGTGTCTGTGATGGAAGATTTAGACACGCTGTGTATTTACACACGCGAACAGTGGCTGTGTGTTAATCTGCGTGTTTATCTGTGTGCGTGTCTACCTAGCCAGACGCCGTCTGTAGATCTACATGCTGAGGTCTCCTCACACGCAACAAGGAGAGGAAGCGGATTGGCTGTGTGCTTTTCGCTTCAAGGACGCCATCTATGGACCATAATCAGCTGAAACGCCTGTGCAGACCCGAACCCAGAGACAATAGAACACTAATCTGTTCTAGGCCAATATGGCCAAATATGGCAAAGATTTGGGCCAGATATGGCGGCGCTTCCTCTCCTTGTTATATTTAGCTCCTTGCCCACACGCATGTGTGTGTGTATATATGTGTGCACTAACAACAACCACGGAAGCATATCTGGTAGCATATTTTATCCTTTCCCTGTCCGTACATCAACTATATATATATATATATATACGTTGATAGGGGGCGGGACGTGGGTTATCATAGCAAATACACTCCCGTGATCACGTGATCGCGTGTTCTATAGCCGTGTTTGCTATCACGGCGGTTTATAAATAGATTAAATAGAATATATAGCTTATATAGATTATATATTCCCCCACAAATTATACTTCGAAGGACGGCTAGGACGACGTAGGCTGTACAAAAGCGGCAAAAGTTCGTCATTGTAATAATATATATATAATGTGGTTTTTCGTATCTGTTTGAGAATGAGCGCTAAACATCTAGCGTTGTCATGGCTACGTGCTTCGCGCATGCGTAGCTTTCAGTTGAGCAAACAGTACCTCGTGAACCTATCAAAGTATCGGAATTATACATGTTTTTTTAGAATATTTTTAAGAAAAAAATGGCACAAGGCGAAACTGAATAAAGCGAATCTGAATCTTATATGTGTAACGAACTTTAGCTTTGTTGTGCTTTCTAGTTTGCTGTTTATTTAGCGGGGCAAGGGATGGGAAGAAATGTGATTATGACGCAGGAAGTGAGAGCGATATAGAGTAAAACACTCTGCAACGATGGGATAGACAGTCATGAGTTTCCGCGTTAGCTTCTGATGACGTCATCAAGGAGTGCCTACGCGCACATATAATGACGTCACGTCGAGTGCATCGTCTGATGGTTGGGTAGCCAGCGACGCGCAGCCAGCGGTGAAGGAGCGCAAATACACACACTAACCCACACACGCGCGCGCGCGCAGACACAGATACGCAGAAACCTGAGAATGCATGTGCGCACCTCTACGACTGTCTCACCCGCGTGACATCAGCTCACAGACAGGAATATACGCACGCGGATACAAACCTGCACGCACGCACGCACGCGCGTACGCACGCGCGCACGCACGCACGCACG